AAACATATATATATACATACACAAAAAATGGGGAGAGAGAAGATAAAGATGGAGAAAATCGCCAACGTGGCAGCGCGGCAGGTAACATTGACAAAGAGAAGGAAGGGGCTATTCAAGAAAGCTGAAGAACTATCTATTCTTTGCGAAGCTCAAATTGGCCTCCTCATCATCTCCTCTTCTTCTAATACCCCAATTAAGTTCTTCAATTATGCCACCACCAGGTCTCTCTCTCTCTCTCTCTCTCTCTCTCTCTCTCTCTCTCTCTCTCTCTCTCTCTACATAGATAGATGGTTATATATAAATGTATGTGTATGTATTTACGAGTGCTTGTGTATCGGTGTTTCGGACAGATTTCGTGTCTGACAAGTGCCATTTTTGTAATTTTCAAAAACAAATGTAGAAACACTTATTCAAAAGTAAAATTTTCAAATACTTGGTTGATTACTTAGTTTAGTTATGTAGGTCATTTAATGATGGATTCCAAATTGATAGTTTATAATACTATTATGTGAGGATATTTGTATGAAAATATATACGAAGAATTTATTTATACATAAAAAAAAAAAAAAAAAAAAAAAGCATATATACATATATTTATTATTTATAAATATACCCCTATAATTTTTAATTTTTACACATATCCCCATATTCTCGTGTCCTACTTTTTAGAATACGTAATTTTCCCGTAATTCGCCGTATCATATAATATGTGAACAACCCTATAACTTTATAATTCCTTTTTTTTTTTCCCCGATCGGTTTGGTGTGTGATGAAGTATGAAGGACATAATTGAAAGGTACAATTTGCACTCAAAGAACCTTGATGAGTTGGAGCAGCCATCAGAGCAGCAGGTAATTATTATTCGAAATTATTGCTATATTCAATGTACATTAATGGCTAGCTATATACGTCATAACAATATTCTTGATCGATAATTCGTCCTTCACTATCTGCCTAACGATGTTTTACTAAAATTAAAATTGGTGAAATATATACGCAATGCATCAGCTAGTCCGGGACAGCAACAAAGAAGTGGCTGAGAAAAGCCATCAACTTAGGTTACTTGCATTTTCTATGTGTCTAATTTTACATATATATATTCCATCTATCGATCGATGCAAATGCTATATATGCACTTTTTTTTTATTATAATATATATTATAACTAAAAATTGTGCCGTCGTCGACAGGCGCATGAGAGAAGAGGAACTTCAAGGATTAAGTATTGATGAGTTGCAGTGTCTTGAGCAGTCAATGGAAGCTGGATTGAGGCGTATTACGCAGAAAAAGGTGAGCGCACGCGCACGTGCGCGCGTGTATATATATATATATATATATATATATATATATATATATATATATATATATATATATATATATATATATATATATATATATATATATATAACAATATTAATAAATAATAAATGGAATTAAAATGTGCAGTGATCTTGATCGAATTATTTTGATTTAATAATAATATATATTAATTGGCAGGAGGAGAAAATCATGAGAGAGATCAATCAGCTTCAAGAAAAGGTCTGTATATCCAAAAACTTTTGATATAATTAACTCGATTTACCTGTCCAAATAATACTATTGTTAGATTGTTATATGCTTGATTATATTGAGTACACAGTACTATATAGTAAGTAATTAATTTGCTTCTTACTATATGTGTGTTAGAAATATACTATGATTTGAAACCGAAATTAGTGGCCTTCATATTTTGGCTACATTGCCAAAATCTAAATTGTGAGTATGAACGATGGTATGATCTTGTACCTGCTCGTGGCAAAGTGTTCTAAAAAAAACGAGTTTCGGTTTCAGTTTCATAAGTATATTTGTAGATACATATTCGATAATGTTTGATTATTAGTTTTTTTCTTATTAATAACCCCAC